GCAGCCGCGATTGCCAGGGGGTAAGTGCCCACTTCTCAGGGGGCGGGAGGGGGGCCAGGTGGAAAGAACTTGGCCTGGGGGTGTCTACCTTCAACGGGACCTGGGACAAGCCTCTCCCCTATGATTCGGTCCTTCTTATTTGTCAGATAAAGAAATAGGCCAGCCCTAGCTGGTGTGGCTCAGGGGTAGGCCGGTGGTCGGCAACCTGCAGCTCACAAGCCACATGCGGCTCTTTGGCCCCTTGAGTGTGGCTCTTCCACAAAATACCACGGGCGGGCGCGCACATACAGTGTGATTGAAACTTGGTGGCCCATGTGCAGAAGTCGGTATTTTGTGGAAGAGCCACACTCAAGGGGCCAAAGAGCCGTATGTGGCTCGTGAGCTGCAGTTTGCCAACCACTGTGCTAGATCATTTTCCCCATCCTCAAGCCCCCCAGTCCCTTCCAGCTTGACCCAATGCTATTCCATGCAGTGGGCTCCCTTCTGAAGCCAGGAATCCGCCAGGGGTCCCCAAACCTTGTACCTAGTATAAGGGGCTTCTTCAAAGACCCACCCTGCCCAAGTCCCCAGCTGGCCTGCCAGCCTCACCCAGCAGCCCCCAACCCTGAACAGGCCCTCATCTGCCCCTTGCACCCTCCTTTACAGATACCCCATTGTGAGCCCGAGGACCCCGTGTGTGGGCGACAAGGACAGCAGCCCGGGGGTCCGGACCTACGGTGTGCGCCCACCGTCAGAAACCTATGATGTCTACTGCTACGTGGACAAGCTCGAAGGTACCGGCCTCATTCTCACATTTTGGGCCCCAGATGGGCAGGGGGAAGAGACACAAAAAAGGAGGGGGAAAGCCATCGTCCGCCCACCCCCACATTTGTGGAAAAATAAATCCATTTTTTAAAATATCTACTTACCATCTGCCTCCTGGAGAGTCCCAATGCCCACGACCAAATTTAAGGCTCTGAGAAGTCCTGCAGTGAAAAACAACAACAACAACAACAAAAAAACCTGGCTGGTGTAGCTCAGTGGATAGAGCGTCAGCCTGTACGGACTGACGGGTCCCGGGTTCGATCCGGTCAAGGGCACATGTCCGGGTTGTGGGCTTGATCCCCAGTCGGGGGCGTGCAGGAGGCAGCCGATCCATGATTCTCTCTCATCATGGATGTTTCTATCTCTCCCTCTCCCTTCCTCTCTGAAATTAATAAAGATATAGCTTTAAAAAAATAAATACATACATCATACATAAGCAAGCTAGGAAGTAGGCCCAGAGGGAATGTAAGTGACCAACCCTTCCCAGTTTGGCTGCAACTTTGCCGGTTTTGGCACTAAAAGTCCCAATTCCTAGAATACCCCAGTGGTCACCCTATTCCCCAGTGTCTCGGGAGATGTAAGGGGGGAGTGGTCCAAAATTTGGACTGGACAGGGTGTTTAACCGGCGCCTGCCATGGCAGGTGTCCCACCCCTGCTGGGGGGCGGGTGTGGGCAGAGGGAGCCCCGCCCGTGGGTGAGCAGGGCCCGCCCTGGCTGTGGGCGTGAAGGGTCACCCTGGCCCCCCGGCCTCTGCCCCCAGGGGAGGTGTTCTTCGTCACGCGCCCGGAGCAGTTCACCTTCCAGGAAGCCCTGGCGTTCTGTGAATCCCACAACGCCACGCTCGCCTCCACCGGCCAGCTCTACGCCGCCTGGAGCCTCGGCCTGGACAAGTGCTACGCCGGCTGGCTGGCCGACAGCAGCCTCCGCTACCCCATCGTCACCCCTCGGCCGGCCTGTGGCGGGGACAAGCCAGGCGTGAGGACCGTCTACCTCTACCCCAACCAGACAGGCCTCCTGGACCCACTGTCCCGGCACCATGCCTTCTGCTTCCGCGGTAGGTGTTCCCCCCCGCTCCTCCAGCCCCCACTTCTGCCTGGGGGGGGGTGACTCCCCGGGGCTGAGCCCTCCTGGCCCCTGTCCACTCCCCCTGTCCATCTAAACAAGAGAGAAAATGTCAGTCTGTCTGGGGGAGGGGCAGCTGTGGAGCTAGCATGCCCTTGGGCTTGGACCCCAAGGCAAATGCATCCTGTAGCAGTTCTCAACCTGGGGGTCGCGAGACCGTCGGAAAACACGTATGTAATTACATAATTGTTTTTGTGATTCATCACTATGCTTTCATTATGTCCAGTTTGTAACAATGAAATTGGGGGTCACCACAACACGAGGAACTGTATGAAAGGGTCGCGGCCTTAGGAAGGTTGAGAACCACTGTGCTAAGGCAAGCATGTCAAACTCACAGGCTCACACGGGCCCAATAAATATGGTTTAAGTGTACGTGGGCCACAAAACAGCAAAAGCTTCCATTTTCATAGACCACTCCCCCTGTCCATCTAAACAAGAGAGAAAACGTCAGTCTGTCTCGGGGAGGGGCAGCTGTGGAGCTAGCATGACCTTGGGCTTGGACCCCAAGGCAAACGCAGACATGCTGAATACAAAGTGCTGAAACAAATGAGTCATCGTTAACATAATATCATAGAACATTTTAATAAAAGTTAATATTTTTTCTTGAACGTTAACGTACCAGATACTGAGTAACTGTACAAACATTTTAATAAAAATTAATAATTTTTCTTGAATGATAACATACCAGACACTGAATAACTGCACAGATGAATAAGTGTAATGCAAATAAACCTATTTTTATTGTTCTCTGAAAGCGAAATATTTCCCGTAGTGCACACCAAACAAGTCAGTCCAAGACTAATGACGTGGCCATCGGCTGCTAAAATATTTGCTGCTGGTATTAGTGGGGAGAAATGGTGTGCCTGCGGGTAAGGCACGTAAGGGAAATGAATGCAGCTCGATGATAGTAATCACTCGTTAGCGAACGTTGTAGTTCATTCTTAATAATTATGTCTAACGGGATATTGTAAAAATTAAGTTACAAAACTTTTATTAAAACGTTTCTTATGTACTGTCCTATTGGCTGGGCCGCAAAAATATTTGTTGTTGGCCACATGCGGCCCGAAGGCCGCGAGTTTGACATGCTTGCTCTAAGATTTCCCAGAGATAAGGAGAGAGAAGTGAGTAAGAACCTGGGCTCTGAATTCAGGCAGACCTGAATTTTAATTATGGTTCTGCTGCTTAGTAGCTGTGTGACTCTGGGCAAGTCACTTCTCAGTTTCTCTGTTTCATGTATAAAATCATGATATGGCTGAGGATTACCTGAGATAGTGCACAGAAAACACTTGACAGAGTGCCTGGGACATAGTAAATGCTCAATAAATGGTAGCTTTGCTGTCATAAATAATTTGTACACGAATCAAATTCTCTCCTCCTTGAAAGTATTTTCATGATGAGTTTAGTCAAATTATTTTATTGACTAAATATCAACAACTTCTGTGTTTTTTAATATGTTTTCATTAATTTCAGAGAGGGAGAGGGAGCCTGTAGTCCGCAGGCTGACACTCTATCCACTGAGCCAAACCAGTTCTGGCCAGACCTGAATTTTAATTATGGTTCTGCTGCTTAGTAGCTGTGTGACTCTGGGCAAGTCACTTAACTTCTCAGTTTCTCTGCTACATCTATAAAATCATGATATGGCTGAGGATTAACTGAGATAGTGCACAGAAAACACTTGACAGAGTGCCTGGGACATAGTAAATGCTCAATAAATGGTAGCTTTGCTGTCATAAATAATTTGTACACAAATCACATTCTCTCCTGCTTGCAAGTATTTTCGTGATGAGTTTAGTCAAATTATTCTATTGACTAAACATCAACAACTTGTTTTTTTTATAATATGTTTTCATTGATTTCAGAGAGGGAGAGGGCGAGAGAGCTAGAAACATCAATGATGAGAGAGAATCATGGATCGGCTGTGTCCTGCACACCCCCTACTGGGGATCAAGACCACAACCCAGGCATGTGCCCTGACCGGGAATCAAACTGTGACCCCCTGGTTCATAGGTGGACACTCAACCACTGAGCCACGCCAGCCAGGCAGCAATTCATGCTTTTAATTGACCCATGACACTGAGGGCATGCTGCCAGATATGTGGTTGGGTTCAAACTTGTGCCTGGTTGGGTTCAAACTTCTGCCACTTAAAAGCCACTGACTCTGGGCAAGTCACTTAATTCTGTGTCTTAGTTTCCTCATCTGTAAGTGACATATAGTATCTCTCTCTTATGGTGATTATGGGATAAAATGCTCTGGTATGCATAACACCTTTAAACCATGCCTGGCATCCTATATCATAAAAGGGTAGTATGCAAATTATCCCATCAACCGGGAATTCAACCTAAGTTTGACCAGGGGGCGGGGCTGGCATACCAACTGCCTGGGGCCCCTCCCCCTGGCCAGCCCAGCCCAATTGGCCCAATCAGGGCGTGCCCACTGGACCGCACCAGTGCACGAATCGTGCACCAGGCCTCTAGTGTATAATAAATTCTGTAGGAGAGATGCCCCTTACCACCCTGAAATAAAGTGCCAGTGGTATGTGCATATTGAGAGTGTAGTTGCTGCAAAACGGCTCTTATTAATTGAGGAGGTCAAAAATGATCTCTCTGGCCTGGCCACAGGGGCTCAGTGGTTGAACATTGACCTATGAACCAGGAGATCATGGTTCAATTCCCGGTCACGGCACATGCTCAGGTTGCAGGCTCGATCCTGGATCGTGCAGGAAGCAGCCAATCAATGATTCTCTCTCATTGTTGATGTTCCTATCTCTCTCTCCCTTTCCTTTCCTCTCTGAAATCAATAGAAAATATATATTTTTTAAAGTGATCTCTCTGGATTGCTAGGTGGAGGTGGGGGGTCGAGGCCCAAAAAAGCGTTTGCACAGGCCTGGCTCACCTCAGACTCCCCTGGTTGCCCTCGAGAAGGGCCAGCTGGGGTGGGGCACTGGTGAGAAGGAACCCTCACCCCCACATGTCTTCTAGGTGTCTCAGCTGCGCCCTCTCCCGGAGAAGATCGGGGTGGCACGCCCACACCCCCTTCAGACGTGGAGGACTGGATCACCCCCCAAGTGGGACCCGGCGTGGCTGCTGTCCCCTCGGGGGAGGAGACCACTGCGGTCCCCGACTTCACCGTGGAGCCAGAAAACTACACGGAAGGGGAACGGGCCTACACCCCCGCGGGCACCTTGCCGCTGCCAGGTCTGTGTGGCCTTCCCGGCCTTGGGGGGCTGGGTTCAGAGGAATGAGTCTCACACCCCAGCGAGCAGCAACATCGTGGGGGTGCTGGGCCCCCCCACAGTCTGATTCCGTGGGGCGGGGGTGGGGTCTGAGAATTGGCTTTTCTACCACGCTGTCCGATGACGCTGGTGCTTCTCTGGGACCAGCTGGGACCACACGTGGAGAACCATGGGTTTAGATACGATGAGATGAGGCTGTGCAAGTACTTGAAGGGCGACCTTGATTGCCCTCCGGGAAAGCCAGGCCCCCACACATAGTGGGTGGTGTGGATGGCACCCCCTAAATTAGGAAGGTTCTCAACCATAAAATTATTTTCGTTGCTACTTCATACCTGTAACGTTGCTACTGTGACGAATAGTCACGTAAATATCTGATATGCAGGGTGTATTTTTATGGTTCGCGACCCACAGGTTGAGGACCGCTGCAAATCTCACAAAGCCAGGCCCCCCCTACCCAGAGGGTTGTGTGGATGGCACCCCCTAAAATCCCGGAAAGCACAGCCTG